AGATGACCTCTTGAGGTCCCTTCCAACCCTGATATTCTATGATTCTATGATTCTATGAAATGATCCCAAAGCACGATTCATGCCCTGGGCAATACTAATCGACGGGAACATTTAATGGGACAACGTAAGTCACCATAAGAGCCTGTGTTGGCACTAGAAGCAGTGGGGCTCTGTCAAGGTGTGAGCCATCTCTGTGCACCCCCTTGTGGCCGGGCATGGTGCTTCAAGTATGACATGTTTTAATCTCCCCTGATTGGGGCAGTAATAGGGTCACTTTCACAGCCCAGGGCAAGGAGGGACCAACACGTACCAACAAACCAACATGTCTCCCTGTAATTCAGCTTCAGGAGTAGAGTAATGATGAACAGGTCATAAGGTCCTCACCTCAGTTCATATCCAAAACTTAAAGTCCCCAGAACAAAGCCTCTGGTTAGGCTGGTCTCCTGGGGCTAGAGCCACAAAGGGACTTAGGTACATCAGAGGAAGTCAGGTGCCTAAATCCCAAAATCAGGCCCCAAAATCAGGCACAAAACCCCCACTTAGCTGCCTCCAAACCCTATAGGCACGTAAATTCACTCAGCACCTAGGGTCCCAGATATTATTGGGACTGTCCCACTATTCAGGGCTTTGACTTATATAGGTGCTTAGTACCTCTCCACACACATACTGATTTTCCACACTTGCCATCTGGTCACCATTGCAACACCCAGCACAAGGGGGCCCTCTCCCGGTCAGGGTCTGTGCAGCGCCTCACTCTGGGGTGAGCTTGCAAACCATGAGAAGCACTAGGAGTGGCAAAGGGCTCCCACCAATGGGCTAAGGTAAGAGCGATAAGTGAAGCAGATTTTCCTGGCGGTGCAGACGTTGCTCTGGTTCCAGGCGATGGAAGCAAATGCACCTGCTCCGGCTACGCAAGATCTGGCTGATCACCACCTCACGGGCGCTTCCAAGACCCACCCTGGACAAAGGAGGGACTCTCAGCAGCACGAGTGTGCTGGTTCTCAGCAAAAGCAGTGAGCACAGAACCCCCCCGGGAGGGATCCAAAGATTGTTCCCTGGCCCACATCATGGTCGGAGTGAGCAGTGAACTGGTGCATGTCTTACCTTCTTCTTCCCGTTTCTTGGCTGATTCCTGCTCCCTGAACTCAGGGTTGTGGTTCCTATTTTTCAGCAGGGGAAAAGGGTGTGTACGTAATGTTTAGGATGCCCAGATAGCAAGTGTGCAAAATTGGGACACTTTTTTTTCCTGGTGGGGGTCTTTCTTTTTTTCTTTAATGGAGATATCCTATCTCCTAGAACTGGAAGGGACCTTGAAAGGTCATCAAGTCCAGCCCCCTGCCTTCACTAGCAGGACCAAGTACTCCCCCATATTCCTAAGTGGCCTCCTCAAGGATTGAGCTCACATCCCTGGGTTTAGCAAGCCAGTGCTCAAACCACTGAGCTATCCCTGCCCCCCAATGGCATATATAAGACACAGCCCTTAATAGTGGGATGGCACCAATAATATCTGGACATCCGGTCACCCTAACAGCATTGGGTGTGTGCAGCTACTCAGGACCGGCTGGTGGGACTGGTTTTGGGTTTCCGATCTGTTTTCTCTAGAATGCTTTGGACCTTAAGGATAAAGGTGCTTTCTTAGAAAGAAGTGAGCAGTAGTTTGACTGTGGTAATTACACACTTCACCCTCTCTGAGGAGAACAGTGAAGCCGGCTGACTTTGCTGGGGATAGAGTTAGCAAAGGAGGGAGAGAGATGCGGGTCTCCGCCCAAGGGAGGCATCAGCAGAGGAGCCAGAAGGCTGAGGGTGGGTGTCCTTGTTGGACCATGGAGAGGGGAACACAAATTGCCCCCCTGGACTCGGCAAGCCGCACAGGGAATTAGCCATGTGCATGGCAGCTGCAGTCCCTGGGTTGGATGTAGCCGAATGGCGGGGAGATAAGACGGAGCGGCTTGGCAGAGCTGTGGTTGTGATATATGGAGATCTGGAGATCAGTTTGAGGAGTGGGGCAGAGATCAGTGATGGAGAAAATAGGGCTGGCCTGAGGTCCCTCGCCATGTGCATGATCAAAGGACAGAGGCGCATGTGCACTGCTAGGGACCCAGAACCCCTTGTTCCAGCATGGTGTTGTGTAGGTGTTGTCAACAGAGGAGTACAGGGGTCTCCCTGCCAGGGGATTCACCAGGAGAAGGCCGGATGGTGCAGAGGGCAGCAGAGGGTAAGGGGTGGGGAAGGGGCGGCTATACTGTATAATGGGCACTAGGGGCAGCAGAGG